ACAAATGCCTAATCATTCATTTCAGGGCCCAGGCTGCCCCGCCCCCTTTTCCTTCCTCCCATTTTCCCTTTGGGCAAGTCAAGGCTGGGGCTTAAGGAGCAAACCACCATTGGCCCCTGGCTGTCAGATCTTCTCTGCGCAGCCCCCTTGCTTAGACTTTCCTTTGAGCTGCTGACGACCTAGATGTCTACCAGCATATTCTGGACTTTTCCAAGGTAGAACAAACTACCAGCAACTAGAAACCTGTTACTCCGAGAGCGCCTGGTACTGGGGGGTGTGGAATTCCATCTAGTTGCTCAATTGTTGAATTATGAACACATGAAATTAACAGATAGTTCACGTGAAATATGTAGCATACCTCGTCTGAGTTAAGACCTGGAACCTGGGTTCAAAGCAAGGCTTTGCCCCTTATTACTTGAAGCATTCAGTCACAGGAATGACCAAAAGTGATTATCAGCATCTCGGCTCACCTCCAGCACTGTCATCTCTCCTCAAAGCCGGAACCACCAGGAAAGGCACCTATCCTAGGTTCCTGTTATAAAGGTGCCCTCTAGGGAGAGTTTGGAAGACACTGCTGTTGAAAACAAACCTCATTCACAAAGACATTTTTTCACTTTTAGTACTGCTACTGATTAACTTGGCACCTACAGTGTAACACAACATGGGTATGATTCCAGCCCAAAGGAAACAAAGGGACATGTGAATTGGAATTGGTTAATTCAGGCCAGGGACCTTTCCTATGATCATGGCTCCTTTATTACCTCAATGAGAAATGAGGCCTCATTTCTTTCTCAGATGCTGGGCAGCAGCCAAGATTTCATATGGAGCTGAGAATATTCTCTGACTCCTCAGGTCACACCAACATCTGATGGCCTTCAGCTTTAGCTACCCTCTCCAAATAAATGTCATGCAAGGGCCCAGACTCCAAAAGGCCCTAGTAACAGAGGTCTGTGTATTAGAGACAGTAGACTTGGCCACGCAGGCAGATTCCCTCATCCCACAGCCCCCACCCTGGTGAGGTGCAGGCGCGGGCGGAGGCATCCGGAACATCCGTGGAGCTGGGTGGTAGGAGCCACTGGGAATTAAACACCTTCAGAAAACACAAATGAGGAGATAGGGCCCGCCCATCATTAAGTCATCTTTAAAAATACATCCTTTGGGGGGCAGGGGTAAAGCAGGACAAGAGATTGAACAGGGTTGAGCCAGTAAGCCTCACAAGTGGGATTCAACCCCTGGATTTCCCAGAACCAGCCCTCCCACTAGGGCATCAGTTTCTCAGGGGACCCCTTGTTTCTAGGCCAAACTGAGTCTCCTTCCTTTATGAATTTTATAAATGAAATAAAATCAAGCACCCCTCACTTAAACCTACTCTGAAATCCACAGGCCTAGATCACTGAGTTATTTCTTTACCATGTTGGTTCAACTGTATTTACTTTAGGCAAGGCTCTAAAAGCCCCACCCCTCATTCAAAAGCAATGCTATCCTACCAAGTGCTTTGGCAGAAACCTTGGGGGGTCATCTTTGGCTCCTTTCTCTATTACCTCACATATCAATCTAGCCGGAAGTCCTGGTGGCTCAGACTACAAAACACTCTCCAAATCCAAAGCCAATCATCACCTCTGGTCCCAAGCCACCATTAACTCATGTGGATGATTAAGGCAGCCTCCTCGTCTGATCCTCTCACTTTCACTCTTGTCCCACAGCTCTCCCTGAGCAAAGCCATCAAGGTACCCTCCTCTCAACAGACCAGGTTTCACACAACAGCAAACAAGCTCTTCCCATCTCATCCATGGGTAAAAGCTAAAATCCTTCACCTGAAGTCCTTCTGTGGAGTTGGAGGATAAGCATTAATTAGTTTGAACCACAAGGTCAGTGGTTCAGACCCACCAGCAGCTCCTTGGAAACCCTATATAGGGTTGCTATGAATTGAATCTGATTCATAACTGCAAATAAACAAAACTGACTCCTAGTTAGCACTCTAGTTTCTTTTCCTATTTCGTCTTCCTCAATCACTGTGCCCCAGCATCCAGGCCAATCTACTCCAGCAGACTGTTCTATCTATGATGGTCTTTGACTCCTACCCTTTGTTCAAAAGGATCGCCCAGATCTCTTCTATCCATCACCCACATACTAGCATTCAGATCTGGAACCAGTTTCTCCATCTAAAAAACTCTGATGGGGTGGGAGGGCTGGTCAATGGTCCCTAACTCAAGCCTCTGATTTTTTTTATGTTAGATACAGTTCATTTACAACTGGTTTGAAGCCTTTGACAAAACAAGGCTTGGCTGTGTCATACAGACCTGGCACAAGCCCACAATTCTAAGTGCCCAGAAAGGGCCAGACAGATTAGGCTTCAGCTAAATAGACACCAACTGACCAGGTATTGCAGTGATTAGCTGTCAGAGCCACAAAATGAATTAGCCAAACACCCTGAGACACTTAGCAGTAACCAAGGCCCTAATCTTTTCCTTCTCTTCAAGGTCACCACACAATTTATCTAGAACTTTACCCTACAAAACCCCAGTGCAGAGATCCAAATGGAAGCCTTGATCACATTTATTTGTGACAACTCCATTATCCTAACCCAAATCTGGTCCCTCTTCAAATGGCAACCTTCTTTCCAGTCTAAGGCAAACGCAAATTCTACATCTTTCCGAAGTGGGGGAAAAAAAAAGATAGGAGACGTGACAGCATAAAAGACAATTAGAACAATGTTCACACACATTTTGCGGGTTCTAACCCTGTATGGGGTTTTCCTAGGAGCAGCTGATGAGTTTGAACCACCAACGTTGCGGTTAGCAGTCCCAGGCTTAACCTACAGCGCCACACCAACCCTTCGGGTATGACTCTATGTAAGTCACTGGGCAGTAGAACAAGTTGGCCCAGCACACGAAGGTTACCAAATGTTTGTAGAATGTAAGAATTAAACCCAGTGAAATTTAGTTCAAAAGTCAAAGAGAGACACTTCACTCAAAACACAATAGATGTTGATAAGTCAGTTCAGACTCAAACCCTGTAGAGGGTCTCCAAGGAGCAGCGTGTGGGCTTAAATTGTGGACCTGTGGTCAGCTAATCTTACAGCACTTCAAAAAGATTCCACAATACATAGAATCCAGCCGAATTCTATGAACCAACTTCACCAGAAATTCCAGGGTGATGATAGAGAAGGTAACTGAGGTACAGTGTCCTATGCCTAATGGGCTCCTGCGGCTCCTCTGTGGTCTTCCAACACGTTACCCCAGTTTTGGCTTATTTCCAGCTTGTCATATTTAAGATAGGTGGGGAGGTGGGAAGCATGAATATGATAAGTTGTTATCATTAAGTGCTGTTGAGTTGGTCCCTACTCATAGTGACCCTGTATAGGGTTTTTAAAGAGCAGCTGGTGGGTTTGAACTGCCAATCTGTGGTTAACAGGATCATGCTGATCTACAGTGCCTCACCAAGAGTCCCATGAATTAGTAGGATCTGGGGGAAATTACTGTTAACTGCTTGCAGGGTTGCAAAGATGAAACAAAATGGTATGTGTGAAAATACCTAGCACATATAGTGGTCATGTGCTTTTCTTTTCTCTTTCCACAGAATAAGGCTGGGGATCCCCGTTAAGAAAATAATTCAAATCTAATATACTTGCCCACATTTATGACTCCCACCATTAGTCTCCCTGAAGTCCTGGTGTGGCACTGCAGGATAAAGCACTGGACCCCAAAGTCAGTTTGAACTGCATAGTCGGTGATTCAAACTCATCAGCTGCTCCTTGGAAACCCTATGAAGGGTAGCTGTGAGTCAGAACCAACAGGACAGCACTTAACAACACCCATTAGTCTTCCTGTGTCTTCTACTTTTCTTTCTCTACTTACATATCCCGGTGAATTGTAGTGCCAACGCTTCTCCCTGAAGACCCAGGCACTCCTCTCCTCAGTGCTATCTATGCAATTCCAAGTTTAAGTCTCCTGGCCCACAGATAGCCCCAATACATAGCCTAAAAATCCAATGGTTTTCTTCATGCTCTGGTCCTCAGATGGCTCTCAAATCGTGACAAAGTCAAGGTCAAAGACCAGGGGGTTCCACAGTCTACTTAATTCTTGATCTTATCACCCTTTCCCACACCACAGAGCCTGGGTCCAAGTGAACTTTGGTTCATTTTTAAATGTCCCTCTCTTACCCTCTGTGTATACTCACCAGTGTCATTTCCAGAGCCTAGCCCAAATGAAGCACCACCACCCCAAACTCTATCAAATAAGCAAAGAATATTCACTAACACTCTCTTCAAGAAGTCCTGGTGTGGTGCTGTAGGGTAATGCACTGCACTACAAGGTCAGAGGTTCAAACCCATCAGCCACTCCTCAGATACCCTATACAGGGTCAAAACCAAAAATCCAACTCAATGGCACTTAACACTTAATGGCACCCTTCAAAATATCTAAGTCTGATTATCAAAATGCTATCCCAAAGTAGAATGGTTGCATGAGATTACATACAATGAAACACCACCCAGTCACTGAATGTCAAACTCTCAAAGAAATGGCACAGGGGATGCTCAGGTTAGTGGTGAGTGAAAAAGAATAAGAAACAAAACTGCACTTGTCTATAAGCATCATTTGAACCACGAAGAATCAGATGTATGAGTATGGGTATGATTTTCCTGAACAATAGCCTGGGCCTCTTCTGCACATTTTCTATAGTGAGCATTTGTTACTTGATCACAAAAGTGTTTCTCAAAAACCTAAGAGATGCAGCTCAAATGCAACCACCTCTCAAAAGACTTCTCTAGAGTTTCAAACCTATACTCAAATAATACTAAATATTCCCTCATTGAGATGACAGGCTGGGGGAAAGGAGGAGGGGAATCTTTGATGGCAAGCACCAAGTTCCCATCAGTACATTCCCCCTAACTCCACAGGACCCAGGAGGAAGACCCCAGTTCAGTGAGTGAACATGTAGAATACAAAGGAAGTACTCACCTAGTTTAAAAAAACACCCAAGATGCTTTGCCCTGAATTTTAAGCAGCACATGTGACCCGGTCCATTCTGGTTTCAAGTTCAAAGGCATCAGGCCGGTCCTGTGGGTTAGCAGCTAACATATCTTTCAAGAGCTGCTTGATCCCCTCAGACATGGAAGTCCTGCGTTTCTGGGGTATGTGCAACTCCATCTTTGGGTTTTCTAGCAGCGCCTCACCAACTGGGACGATCTCAGTCCCTTGTTTGATGTAGGTCCCCAGGAGCTCCTTCTTGGTCTCAGAGTCAATGAAAGTGATTCGTTCGATCATTGCCCAGATAATAATGCCCAGGGCAAAAATGTCAGCCTTGGCTGTGTAGTGTCCCTCCCAGACTTCAGGGGCCATGTAGAAGTCTGAGCCGCAGGCTGAGGACAGCCAGTACTTATTCACATTCACATTTTTGTTGTCTTGATTGCCCTCTTTGCCTCGTGGAGCCAGTCCAGCACAGACCTTGCTCAGTCCAAAGTCAGCCACCTTGAGGATGGGGGAGCCAGATCGCTCCGTGATGAGGATGTTGTCTGGCTTTAGGTCCCTGTGCACGATGTGGTTTTTGTGCAAGAAGGCTATGGCGCTTGTGAGCTGTAGCATGAAGCTTTTGTTAGTGGCTGGGTCTGGCCTTCGAGACAGGACATACTGATTCAGGTCTCCACCTTCACAAAACTCCATGACAAACCAGAGATAGCAAGGCTCCTCAGCATACCCCAGGATCCTTTCCCCTAAATCAAAGGAAGACAGGAAAGTATTAGACATCACTTTTAGACTAAAGGAATGCAGCACATTGAAGAAGAAAACCAGTGGTGGCAAAAACCATCACTCCAAGATGAACTGCACAACTGGTACTGACCCAACTCTTCACTCACAAAGGACACTGAGACTCAACACAGGCAGCAGGGACTGGTGTCCAGCACAGGAGGCTTAGAATTAAGAGTGCCTGGGTGGAAGCTCTGATTTTACCAAGACTTAGTTCTCCTTTCATTTTTACAGAGTCCTAGTGTGGAGCTGCAGGATAGTGCACTGGGCCACAAGGTCGGTTTGAACCACAAGGTCGGCTGTTCAAACTTACCAGCTGCTCCTCGGAAACTCTACACAGGGATGCTATGAATCAAAACTGACTCAACAGCACTTAACAACAGTTTTCCTTTGCAAGTTATTATTTCTCTACTTCAACTGTAAATGGTCATATGCAACCACTAAATGAATGCCTATGATGGCATATGATGTTCAGTGTTTAAGACTTACCACCATTCTATGAAGTAGGAGAAAATATCCCCATTTTAGGAAATGAAGTGGCTGAGGTCCAGAGACTTAGATCTAAGAGACTAAAATCCAGTAGACTATGAAACTTTGGTTTCTTTCATTATACTGTCTCCCAACAGACAGCATCAGACTTCCCGTACCTCCCTGAGCTGCTAGGAAGATGAGACAAGGCAAAGTACATGAGAAAGCTGTGGCAGTAAAGCATTGTACAAATGAATGTTACAAGGATCACTCACTGTAACTCCAAGCCAGGCAAATGATCTTCCCTCCCATTTCCCTGACCTGAATATTATGATTCTTGTTAATGACCTAGACCAGCACCAGAACAGCCCTTTGTCTTATTTCAGACACTCCAATTCATCAATAGCATCTGCTAATCCACCATATGCCCAGCATATGGTAGAGACCTAACACACTCTTGTCTCTATGAAGCTTTGTTTCAGGGAGATAACAGGCATCTATAATAGCAACCATCATAAACTGACATGCAATCAAGTGGCCATACATCTGGTAGCAAGATAAATTCCTACTGACAGTGAAGGGTGGGCAGGAGTGCTAGAGCTGCAAAAGTCAGAAGAGGGAGCACTTTCAAAGTTACCCTTTGAAAGACAGGAAGTGGAGAAACAAGAAGGGAATTCTAGAGCGAAAAACCAGACCACTAATGAGATTGTGGCACTGTGGGCTAATGGGCTGGATTGCAAAGTTGTTTGAATCACAGGTCGGTGGTTCAAGCTCACCAGTCACTCCTTCAAAACCCTATACAGGGTCACTACGGGTGAGAACCGACTCAACGGCACTTAACAACAATGAGATATAAGAAGAAATGGACCAACCACACACGCTGCTGTTAAGTTAATTCCGACTCATAGCAATCCTGCAGGACAGATTAGAACTAACTGCCCCATGGTTTCCAAGGTTGTAAAGAAACAAACGGCTACATCCTTCTCCTGAAGAGCAGTTGGTGGGCTCAAAACTTCTGACCTTTCGGTTAGCAGCAAGCACTTTAACCAATGTGTTACCAGGGTTCCTAGAACTGGACCAGAGAGGTATAGCTAGGAGATCCTGTGCGAACAGTGGAGTCCAAAGGAGGAAGTGAAAGGCGGCATCAACTTACGTGGACTCGAAACTCCAGAACTCCAGGTCTGCCTTTCCTTTTGAATCAGAAACCCCAGAAAAGCTGCAACTGGCACCTCTAATCAAGTCCCAATATTCTCAATAAAGCAATTAACAGCACACTGAGCCCGTATGTAGAAGGTTCTTGGTAGCTACAACTGCCCCGTAAGGTCAGCGTAAATAGCAGGTATCTCATTTGGCTTATGCGAAGACTGAGCTTATGAGTGAGCACAGTATCTTGCCCTCAATGGATTACTGTAACTGAGCCAGGGCCAGGAGACAAGTATGGTGTTTACACCTTCTTCTCCTAAAAACACTGCCAGAGGGTCCCTTTTAATAGACTTTTATGCTACTTAGTTACAAAGATCACTAGAGATCAAGATGACATTCCACATGCCCCTGAAATTACCCAAGTACACAGCCTATCAAAACCAGTGGTGTGGGAGCCATAGGGAGAGCCAAGAAGATGATGTGATGGGGTCCTCTGACCATGAGCTGACAGCCTTCACTTCCCAAGCAATTAATTATATAATTTGTTTGTTTATATTACTCAGAATCAAAATAATACAGGTAGAACCAGTTTAGGGCAGATGGGTTTGTTTGGGTTTCTTTTGAATCAAGTGGTTCCCCTCTCGTAATCCTTTTTCTAGGTCAATGGCTCAGAGAGGGCTGAGGCTTTCTTCTTGAAAGGACTACAAAATGAAGCAGCAATTGGACATCCAGATCCATACGGATTCTGGAGTAAAGATCCGTGAAAGGGGAGAAAAGTAGTGCCAGAATGGAAAAGACTAAACAACCATTGAGTTCCTTCTGCAAAAGGTTCACCAGAAAACAGTGAAACTTTTAGTGGGAGGGTAAGGGGTGGAGAGTGATTATTTTATATACAACGTTGGTAACTATGGCAGCTGAAGTCAAATGAAAACAAGCCAGCAAAACAGACTGTATACTGAAATCTAGGTTCTAAGATTCCAGTTTAAAAAAAAAAAGGAAAGAATGTACTCTATGTTACTGAGTGGATGGGGTGGATGGGACCACTGGGCTAGGAGCTTGCTCTGGGGAAGTGAGCTAAGCTCAGGAGATGCTCATGGAGGGGCTGTTGTTGAGAGCAAACAGTGGCCAGGAAGAAGCATTTTCAGAAGCAGACTGAGCATCAGAATGGAAAATTGAGGATCACAGTGACTTGTCCCAGAGATAAAAGTATTTCTGTACACAGGCCAAGGGACTTGTGCTTCTTTCATTAAACCAACTTTCTGAGAGGCTAAAACACTGCCGGCTACACTTCTGGTGTGGCGCTGTAGGATCAGCAATGGATTGTGAACCACAAGGTCGGAAATTCAAACCCACCTGCAGCCCCCTGGGAACCTTATACAGGGTCACTATGATTCTATGGCACTTACGCAAGAGTCAGTGACTTTTAGACTGGAAAATGAAAGGTGAAAGATTCCCTCTAAAACAAGTTTCTCAGGGTGGAATTGTTAAAAGCCAGGGGGGTGAAGCCCATTATCCTTAAAAGTTCCTTCTACAGGTGAAACTTAAGTTATACTCTAAGGTTTGGTTTGAATTTTCCCTACTTTATACTTGCCTAACTCCTCAGACCAATCTTGTTATCTATATTTTAATTTTTAATTCAGTGAGCTCGGATTTTCTACTTAACCATGAGAAGCGTTGGTACATTTCACTAAGCATTCTGTTTCAACAAGTGGGAAAACAAAGGCTGAGAAAGAATAACTTACCCAAGACTATTATTACACCATGAGTTTGGGTGGGATACGAACCTCCACCACCAAATCCTTCCACCAGATAATGTTTTCTCCTAGTTCACAGAGGAGCTCTGGTAGCGTAATGGTTAAGAATCGGGCTGATCAGCAGTTCAAAACTACCAGCCGCTCCGTGGGATAAAGATGAGGCTTTCTGCTCCTGTAAAGATTTACAGCCTCGGAAACCCTGTACAGGTTCGCTATGGGTCAGAACCGACTCGATGGCACTTAACAACAACAACAAGAAGTTCACACAGGTAGTCTGATAAAGAAAGTCCTGGCTGTAGGATAAGCACTTGATCTCAAGATCAGCAGTTCAAACTCACCAGCCACTTCTTGGAACCAACTTGACAGCACGTAACAACAAAGTCAATTCTACTGAAACATTTCCTGAGCATGCACTGCTGGTCAGACCCAAAGAAGAGGAGCTAGTTACAAGTCTACACCCTTATAAAGGCTTCTGGTCTTTAGCTACATAATGACAGCAGCTTTGGAACAATGACTAGGGCATATAGTTCCGGGGGAGGGGGACAAAGGGCTGATTTAGGATGAGAGAACGCTGGGTCGCCCACAAACATGGGGAGCATGAGGTTCATCTCTCCTATTCATCAAAAGAGAAGCAGTAGGAAACAGGCAGAATGGGGCTATATGTAAACTGGAGAGATACACACCAAAAGAAAATTTGATCTTAGACAGAAAGAAACGGGAAGTAAAAGTTCTTCACAGATTTTAGAAAGATTTTTTTTTTTTAACAGAATCTAAGAAATCATCAGTTTTAAACACATGCTGTTAACAAAACTATGGCATACTATTAAGCCAACTTCCGATTTCTGAGATATTAGTATGTGAAAGCATAAGAATCAACAGAACAAGCTCCCCCTGAAGTAAGAAGTGAAGATGGAAGACAGACTAGCAACCAAGGGACCCATGTCTTCTATCAAAACCCTTCGCCACCACTGAGTCAGTTGTGACTCAAGGCCATAGAGGACAAAGTAGAAGTTCCTCCTAGCGTTTTTCCAAGGCTGTACATCTTTATGGAAGCAGACTGCTACATCTTTCTCACATATGGGGCCCGGTGAATTAGAACCAATCTGTTGATGAGCAATTGAGTGCTTTACTCACTGCACCACCAGGGCTATTCCTCCTGTGCTATGTTAGGTGCGGTGGAGTCCATTCTAACTTATAGTGACCCTGGATAGGGTTTTCAGGAAGCAACTGGTGGGTTTGAACAACCAACTTTATGGCTAGCATTCCTGTGCTAACCCTACAGTGCCACACCAAGACAGTTGTTATCAAGTGCTATTGACTCATACGTAGCGACTCTGTAAAATGCAAGGAGCAACTGGTGAGTTTGAACTGTGGACCTTGTGGTACCAGTTCACTGCTCATCCTAAAACACCACACCAGGACTGCTGTGCCCTTGAATTGATTCTGACTCATAGTGACCCTATGTAGGGTTTTCAAGGAGCAGCAGTAAGTTTGAACCGCCAACCTTGTGATTCAAACATACCTTATGGTTGAGAACAATTCAGAGTGTACATTAGACAGTCCTCTTCTTACTCACCAGTCGCTCCTCAGAAACCCTATAC